AATAATTTGCATAGCGTGCACTATACAGTGTTCAAGGTTCAAGGATTTGTAAATATGTTTTTCTGCAATGGTGGATTTGTTCCATGGGCAGGCCATGGGTCCTTGCTCTCTCCATTACTGCCATTTATTCAGCACAGTGGTCAGGCAGTCAAGGAAGACAAGAACAACACAGCAAATGGCCTCTTGTTACTGCCAGATTGCTGGGTTGTGGCTCAGTCAAAGTTCCTCCGGACTCCAGTGAGAGCTTTTGCTAAGAGAGGCCATCAGGGTTTGGTCCTTCAGGGTTTGGTCTTTGAATACCACCTGAATGTAGGCAAAAGTTTTTTTTTTTTTTTTTTTTTATGCATACCTTCCTCCTTATAGGACTCTCTCTAGAAAGAATGTTGCTGAACACCAGTGCACAACTATATTTGACCTTGCTGACTGAGTGTTGTAGTTTAACTTGGCTAGCAGCCAAACACTGAACAGCTGCTCGCTCGCTTGCTCTCCAACTCCCCAGGGAGTAGAGGAGAAAATTGGAGGGGTAAGGGTAAGGAGACTCATAGGTTGAGATAAAAACAAATTAATAATTGAAATAAAATAAAACTTAAAATAATAATGACAATAATAGTGGTAACAACAGTAATAATAAAATATACAAAGGAGTCATTTGTATATTAGCTCTATCCCAGCTGAAAACCAGGACATTGAGTAAAGTATTATTTCCTTCCTCTCATAACTGTGCGATGTTCCTAGTAGTGCTGTAAGATTATTTTCCAGAGACGGCCCCTCTTCATTAGAAAATACTGGAAATGTGTGTACAGGTGCCTGCAGTGCACACACACTTGAAATAAAATAAAAACATAAATGTATGTGCGTACATAAATGTATGTGTGTATGTACACACGGGATTTCATTTGTGCTTTCATTTATAATGTACCATGTCTGTGTAGAGAGACAGATTCCAAGATCTTCATATTGTTTTCCAAAATCTCAGCTCAGCTAGAATCCCTTTTTAACATGATTTCCTGAGGAAATGAGGCTTTTGTTGCTATTCTGTCTATGTGTTGGCTTTTGCATTTGGCCTGTAACAATCTTTGAGTCCCATCACTAATTTTAATTAAATTTGACGTGAGGTAGAAGTCTCAGAGATATGAAGTTCTTACAGGATTAATGAAAACTGGCTGCCAAGTACAGGAGGAAAATCTATTAATACTCCATCTGAAATAAAGAGTGAATCTTGAGCTCACTGCTTTGAGACAATGAGATATTATGAATGCCCCAACCGTGGGAAAAACTTCAATCAGCGCTCACATCTTAACTAGACACTAGAGCATCCAACCACAAGATACACATTCATAGGAAACCAGGCTTCATTAGTTCCACCATTTGCTTTGATACATGGCATATGATTAAAAGAAAACTGAACATATTATGTGTCCTTCCCCTTGAGGCCTCACACCCTTTAACCAGGTCTGTCTGTGCACACGGGAGATTTGAGGATTTGGCCCTAAACTAATGAAAAGCATGTCCCTTCCAATATCCGGACTCGAGACTTTTCCAAGCATGGGATGAGACACTGCTATAACCATAAATCTGCCATGAACTTGTATCAAAGAAAGGCATATACAGGATGAAATGGAGAAAATCAGAGTTTAGTTTTCACAGGGAAAATATTCTTGAGCGTGATGCTGTACACTGGCAAGCACAGGTGTTCACGTTACCTTAGTGAGACTTTACTCTCACCCTGAACAAAGTACCAGGATGATTTCCAAACAATGAACGCCCTGGCATTAGGATAAAGGAGGTGACTTGACAATTTTCAAGTCACCGAAAAACCAATACCTTGAATAACACAAAGAATTTTGGGAAAGTTTGGCTTAAAGCTAAATCCAGTCATGTTCCAGTGAATAATGTCATATTGCAAATTCTTCCTCTTATGCGCAGTTGTTCCCACAGGTGATACTGGCAATTAATTAAATTACTCTGGTTGAGGTAACTTACATAGCTTTCAACTATGAGGTCTATTGACTGATTAATTTATAAAGCAAGTACCATGCACATTATCTGAAAATACTATTGGTGCTTTTTTAGGGATACTGTGGAGAGCAATTGTCTGCTAGACTATGAAGGGGAAAAGGATTTTAAAGGAAAGTAACTGAAATCTGAACATAGGGAAAAGACTGTCAGGGTGCTTCTTCTCAGATCTCTAACGTGCATTGGTTTTGGTTACTACTGGGGTGGAAAAACTATGCAAGACACGTGATTTGGTTAATTTAACTATCCATCATTTCAGTTGCTGAATCAAAGTGTCATAGGATCTTTTGGTTTGGAAATTCACCTGATTAGTTATGAAGAAGGAAAAATGAGAGTCTACTTGAACTGAATTTTCAGGGCAAAATTAGACAGGAGCTTAAACAGAAATAATTTCTGTTCATATGCACACATTTTCCCAGACCCATTTTTATTTGCACAAGTATCAGGCATGAAAATTATGTAGAATTCTAGAAACTGCAGAAGTTGTAGAAGACAAAACCCCATAACACAGTACCTGAAATTCCGAGATGGCTTCTGTAAATGTGACTTCAGATCAACAAGCTGAGATTCACTACTAAGTGCACACTGTATTTTTTTTTAAAGAGGTGAAAATTCCTAAGAGTGTTTTGCTAATCCTCAAGTTTTATAGTTTTTCCAGAATAGCTGATATTCTACCTCACCTCTATTTGATACTGTAATAAGGTCTTTATCATTAATACTTTATTCATTCATACCTAATTTTGTTAAATGATTAAAACTCAAGTTAAATAAATAACTTGATATATAATCAACCTATACAATCTCAGAAGTGTATGTATTGGCTGTCAAAAATGCATTATTGCTTAAAAGTTCTTATATATCAAGTATATGAGATAACATATTCATTTTATAAATTTAAATGCTTCCTTACACCTTCTCCCTCACAAGACTAAGTCACATGGACTAAAAAATGTCTTCTAACTTGCATAAATTTACTGACTGATATAAGACTCATTTTTTACTTGGCCAGAGTGTTAATATTTTATACCCCTACATACCTGCTATGAGAAATGAAATTCTCCTTGCTGGTGGTCACTGAGTCGTGGATTGGCTAGAATTAAGAGTGGAAAGCAACTGTTAAAACACCCATGGTTTGATTTTGTCATTCTGTACAGCTCCAAAAAAAGGCCCTGAACCAGGTTATACTGTAAAGCACCATTCCCTGTGATAAAATTCCTAAGGCTTTGGCTTTTTAAGCAATTCTCCGTAACCTCTCTCTCTCTCCCTCTTCCTCTCTAAATACATGTATATGGGGGGGGAGGGAAGAGAGAGAGAGACTTGTAAATTTTACAAGTTACATGATTTATTTTAAATGACAGAGGAAAATACAAACCCAGGTATTTTTCAGGTTGTTTTTTTTTTTTTAAACCAAGGCTGTGAGTGTTTCTATTGACTCCTTTTCTTCTACCAAAACCGCTGCTGGTATGAGGGGGGCCAGGCTGTGCTCTCAGTGAAGGTTTTCTCATTGGCCTCAGTGGGTGAACAGCCAAGACCAGTGACTTTAGCTGTCACAAGTCCATTTTGTATTTCATCCTCTTTTTAATTCCAAGGTGAAGTCTAGCTGCATGGACGTCCTGATGTCTAATGTTTCATTTTTACAGACTTTGTGGCTTTCAATTTAGAATATTTTTGAACAATGGTTTGATTTTTTTTCTGCGTCTTTATGTAAGAATAGCAATTTGAAGCCTTTCTAATATTTAACAAATTACTTTCCCAAACTCTTGAAGAATGTCTATGCTTATAATGTATATTTTTAAACTTTGCAACTTCAAACCACTGAAAGATAATGTAAAATATGAAGAATACCCGTAATTGGGGAATTTTGTATGCCTTCACTGCAATGACTAAGCATGTGATAAATACGTGACATTTTTCTAAAATCGCATATAAGAAGGGCTTTTTTTTTAAAGTACAAATAAAATAAAGGACAGTTTTACTCATAATTCTAATACTAATAAGTAGAAAGGAAAGTTTGTGTCACTTACAAGAGGGAATGCTGTCTTGGGGATGGTGTCACTCCAAAATGCTGATTCTGTCATAACACTGGCTACCTCATTTACAAGATCTTTGACTGTCTGATTTTTTAATGGTTTTAAATGTATGATCTGTGATATTTGTTATTGAGAAGTGTTATGGACACTGCTGACACAGATCAGATAAGAAACTGGGTCAGCTGACAAGACATTCGCTGTAACGTCACCTCCCTGTAGCATTAACATGTGGGTCCTTCTGTGTGAGGGAGTTTCTGAACACGGGTCATTGTCAACTATATAGTTCCATTTGCAATTATTGAAATGTCTTTTCTCCCTCCTAAAAAAAAAAGAAAAGAGAAAAAAAGGAGCATGTTTAAACCACATTTCTCTTTAAAGTCAGCTGACAAGACATTCGCTGTAACGTCACCTCCCTGTAGCATTAACATGTGGGTCCTTCTGTGTGAGGGAGTTTCTGAACACGGGTCATTGTCAACTATATAGTTCCATTTGCAATTATTGAAATGTCTTTTCTCCCTCCTAAAAAAAAAAGAAAAGAGAAAAAAAGGAGCATGTTTAAACCACATTTCTCTCTAAATTAGAAAAAAAAAAAAAAGTAAAACCATTTAATATTTCTTTTCTCAAAGCCTGGCAGTTTTCCTGTATTTTTCTGTCAGGAGCCTTGTCTTTTATTCAGCTTCGTTTCTGATTACAGGTTATTCATTTATGGATGGGCAGCTGTAGCAACTTGCTTCTTGCATATGCAAATCAATGTTGGTAATGTTTATCATAAGGAGATTTTGTGGCAGTGGAAAAGGGGTTGTGGCAACATGTTCTTGATTTCAGTTGTATCTTCTACAAATGGAATTGGCTTCCTCACCTTCAGTGGATTTTTTTTTTTTTTAATTTTTTTTTTTTGCCATTTACCTCTTGGACTAGACACTGCTCACTAAGCAAGCTGTTTGATTCACTTACAGATCATGATTTTGGAAGGAGCTGGCAGGATGAGTATCAATTCCAGCAGCAATCTACTCCACCAACAGCCTTCCTGGACAGACGGATATTCCACGTGCAATGGTAGGAGGAATTCAATGGCTGTGAGCCATGTTTTTTGGGCAGAGGCAGGGGGGAAGGGGCTACTACACCTTGCACAAGTATTGTTTTTCAGTAAGACTAATTTACTGGAGTTTCACTTCTGGTAAGAAAAATTCCCATTTGTTACTTTATTTGTAAAAAGCTGAGCTCCCACCATGAAGTTTCTGAAAGTGACCAGTTTATGGTTCATTTCCTTACTGGTTCTTTTTCTTAAAATGAATTTAGTGGTGTTGAAAGTGCCAAAAGTTCCCTGTCCTCAGTCCAGAATTCTTTCTCTCTTATCTTTACCCCTCACACCTTCCCTGAACCAGCTTTATTTTTCAATGCGAATCACCTCTCCGACTTTCCAGGGGAATAGCCTTTTTGCTCCTTTACTGTATTTGCTCTTTCAGCTCTAATTACTAGACAGCTTTCTAATTAGACTGGCATCAGAGCACTAGATAGCTTGTGATCTGAGAACTTTTCTCTTTTTTTCCTTATTGTTTTCTGATTATATGGCTGTATATATAAAAATGTGTTCTCATGTACTCCCTGTCAGTATAAAAATATATAGACATATATTTATATATTTATAGTGTTTGACACAATTTAAAAATTCTTTTCATCACTCAGTCGACGGGTAAACCTTAAAATCTAAGCAGACAAACACATCCTGCAGTTGTCCTTCTAATCCAAATAATGCTGCAACAAAACTTATAATGGAAATTCCCACTCAGTGAAACTCTTCTTCTTTTTTATGTTTAATTTCTAAATACACAGGAATACCTAAGTGTGCACTTAATAAATGTGCTGACCTGTCTATAACAGATTAATGGGGGAGAAAAGTCCTGGCTGAGTTTCACTTTGCACAGGGTTTCATGAAGGGGAACAGTGGGGTCTATTTTAATGCTTCCAGTGTGAAAATCCTGGGGGTTCAGTTATGTTTTAGGGGGACAGGAAGCCAAAAGCTCAGACCAGCCTCTGCAATCATTCACCACTTTGCTTCCTTTTACCTAGCTACTCTTTCCTCCCACAAAGGCTCTCCATTTACATTAGGAGTCTAGTGGCCTCTGAAATTCCTTTACTCTTCTGAGGTGATGGGAATATATACCAGCCTCCTTTTCAGGGAATATGTGACAGCTCCATCAAATCTTTATTCTCTGACATGTCACACTGTCAGTCATTTCCACACTCACTGCCCAAATCCTTCAACAAGAGAATGAGAAACAGTCCTACAAACTCCCTAAGTTACTGACACAGACCTTGTTGGCCAATATTGATAAAGAAGCATAAGTAACTGTGGGGCTTTTTTGTGTTTACCTGGAAACCAGCGTGGTGCACTGTATCTCAACCACAGAGACCCGGGGTCTAGTGAAACCTGAGGGTGTGTATTTTCCTAAAATGTGGCATCTCTTTTGCTTCTGGGTCCTCTAGCAATATCCCCTGTTGCCTGTCAGTATTTCTCAGAGCTATGTGCGTAATCTTTCTCTCGGGGAGACTGAGAACGGACTGGTGCCACATCGTGGAGTGGGGCTACTGTAGAGCTAGGTCATGGCAGTCTTTCCTCCTCTCATAATTCAGGTGCCTCTGCAATCTCTCATTCCCTGATCCTTAAAACCTTCACGCGCTTGTGAGCGTTTTATCACGCCCCCATCTCTGCCTGGCATACTCCATTGTCCTCTTTTCCCGAGGAATAAACTGCATGGAACTCCTTTTGCCAGCCCTTCTGTGAGGGCAGACCAAAGCAGTCCTGCCTTTGCTCTTACGCTCTTATCTTATATAATTATCCTGTCCTCACATACAGTTTCTTTCATTTACACACGTAAATTATTGTCATGCAATGACATACAACTGAGAGTGGTTTAAAAGGTTGCCAAGAGAAGATTCAGACATTCTAAGAAGAACATTAGGCATCTTCCATAACTAAAAATGAGTGTTGCAGCTACAATCACCTTACCTGACTACAGAAATAACGTGTGTTCATTAGAACGCTGTGGGCCAAATGGATAGGCTTTTACTGTGGAGCAATATGAGAGTGCCTTGGCTTTTACCACTCTTTGGCTGAATCCCACAATTCATATTTAGTCCTTATTCAAAGAAAATTTCCACATCACATTATGAGAATTTTGCAAGGCTTCTCCATAATTTTCTGATGCGCCAAGTTCTTTCACCGCACAAGGATCAACATACATTTTCAACAGTACTTCTGTAAGTTGTCTTCCAGCAAAGGATTTTGGTGTATTTAGCCAACATTAATAAATTAATTCCTAGATACTCAATCCGTCAGGAGAGGTGTAATGTAATAATTCCCAGTTTTCAATTGGAAAACTGAGAAAAAAAAAATCCCACAATACCTTCTCCAGCGATAGCTACTGAGCTAGTGTTAAGGACTGAGAAAAGAATCTAGATCTGTGGACTCCCAGGGCATGCAACTTAACTATAGACCTGTCTTGTTGTCAGCATAGTCCCATGGTGCTAATAGAGACTGTAAATACCTATTTTCCTTTCCAGTGTCCGGCAGCTTCTATGGAACCCAGTGGCATGAAATACACCCGCAGTACTGGACTAAGTTTCAAGTCTGGGAGTGGCTGCAGCATCTCCTTGATACCAATCAACTGGATGCCAACTGCATCCCCTTCCAGGAGTTTGATATCAACGGGGAACATCTGTGCAGTATGAGCCTGCAGGAATTCACTCAGGCAGCTGGGACAGCAGGGCAACTGCTTTACAGCAATCTTCAGCACCTAAAATGGAATGGTAAATAGATATTAGGCAGAGGTACACATACGTTGGTCTGAATTCTGGGATCTTCAGAAACTGCTTAGGTTCCCCAGAGACCTACTTGGCTGATCTCATTTGCTGTGTTTGCTATACTGCTTATACTTCGCTCACTGTACCGCTGAATCGCTTAGGTATAAGTCTGAAGGACCAGGGTAAAGAGTATGCTTCCTGCTCCAAAATTAGCCCTCTGGCTCAAATGTCGCAGTTGCTGCTTGGAGCCAATACCTCTGATTCTTCTGTGCTCCTTATCATACGTCCTCTGTGCCATATGCTTTCTTACAGGCCAGTGTGGAAGTGACATGTACCAATCTCATAATGTCATTGTGAAGACGGAGCAAGCAGGTGAGTAACGGTTGGGTAACTTGTCTTTTGTGACAAAAAGAGGACACTGTCCATTCTAAGAGGGAGGTATCAAAATGGCATTAAAAGAAATGGAAAGTGTATCATGCAGAATAAAAGAGGTAATACAAATATCAGGCAACATCTGCTTTTTGAAGTTTTGGGTAGTACCACTGTATCATAGTTTGCATGTGGCCACTTTTCCGGGGAGACCTCTGCGGTATCAGCAGCCCATACTGATGTTCAGAGTTGGAGGAGTTTGCAGTGCTCCGTGCGTGCAGCTTTGCAGAGGACTTTGTTCTGTGCTTCATTCAGCAGATTTCAAAGCAGCTATTTTCACGGTATTCTCAGTTTAAAAAAGAGAGAAAGTATTTTGTTGTGAAGTGCTCTTAATGCTTTGAAACGTGGGGAAATTTCCAAACAAAACAACTTTGAGAGAAAAAAATGTTACATTTTAATTTCTTCACATGTTTCAATTAAACTGATATTCAGGTAGTATTTTGATTTGACCAAATCAGTGTTTTTCCTGTGACAATCTTTTTTCCCAGTGTGTTCATAGCCAGATCCTTTTCCTCGCAGGACTTTGTTTCACTGAGAAAAGAACTTCATCTCAGTTCAGTCCTCCTCTTCAGGCATGATTTTTTTTTCCTGGTTCCTTTGCCAAAGCACTTCTGTCCATATCCAAACACTGTCTATCCCACTAGTCCCAGCCTCTTTGTATGTGGGTGTGTTAATGAGCCACGTTTTAATATCTCCTGGCAGAACAAATATGGGTTTATAGCGTGCAATGCCTCTGACAAATGCTGCTAGCCTGTTTATTCAGCTAACCTAGAGGAGCCCAGCCTCCCCAGCCAGGGACACTATTCACCTTCTCCTTGCAGCGGGCAAGCATTGCGGTCTGCAGTCCACTCCCTGCCTGTGCCCGCGCAGTGCGGGTGATGTGCGTGCAGCAACCCCGCTGCTTGATGTATAGGGAAAGTACAGTAATCCTTTTAGTCCTGATTTATGACATCTTGATATAACATTGGTTCCTCCTCCTGCTAGAGATGCACGACAGTGGGAAGTGGGAGCGGGTTTAGTTTCTGCATGGGGAGGAGCAGGCATTGGGGATGGGGGCTGCTGGGGAAGGGGCTCCGTGCGAGCCGGCAGGGACAGGGCTGGTGGCTTAGAGAAGAAGCTGGCCTCATCCTAGCAGACTGCCACAGCTGCAAAGACATGGGCACTGAAACAGGCCAACATGGGGAGACAGGCTCTCTCCTCTGGCTAGGTAAGGCCTGTTTGCAGAAGCAGCATGAGGCAGTTCAGGTGTCCAAGCAAGCAAAGGGTGTGTGCTGTTGGTAGGAACACAAGCTCCGGGTGCCCAAACATGCAGCTATTACTTAGCATGCCTGCTAAATTCCTATGTCATAAGTGGTAACTCAGCCAAACATGATGATTTAGCTATAACTCATTTTTGGTTTTGTTTTTTTGTTTGTTTTTTTTATTTTATTTCATTTACGTGAGCATGAACAAAAATTAAGTAAAGCCTAAAGTTGAACCTTACATCTCATCCTTTCTGACCTGTATTCAAAAGAAATAGATTTTTAAGGCTCCTGACCTCAAAAAAACACTGTGAAGAGGGTAATTTCCTGATCAATGTACAGGTCATAAAGGCAATAATTCTGTTCTGTTTAAATTGATCCATCTGACCAGAAGGTCAGTAAAAATTATTCCTCTTTAATCATAAAGGTGGTTTGTAGATTAAGGATGGGGACTTGAGGTGCCTGGAATAAAATGGCCCTTCATCTAGGATTAGGCTTTGGTGTTTCTCACTATGTGCTTACACATGAAGCTCTATTTCAGAGGGAACTTTCAAGTTCTACCATTATAGAAATAAATACTCATTATAAGCATCCTCCTGTTTTACTAGATATTTGAGAACACTTTCATCTCTATGGCACCAAAGCACTGTCATAATCACCAGGGGCAGAGAATTCAGGACTGGATTGGGTAGAATTAGAGTTGATCTGGCATAGGAAACCTCCTTCAAGGGCAGGCAAAAATGATATATGAACCAGGAAAAGGAAAAGTGTACTTCATTATTTCTAAAAGTCAGTGCTTTGTGTAAGTACATTTGCCTGAATATACAAAACCCCATCCATAATTTGAGTGAAAGGAAATAATTTTGTGCATAGCCCCTTCACTTCTTGGTTCCCTTCACAGTTTGTTTGTTTGTTTGTTTGTTGTTTGTTTTTTTCCCCCACATTATTCCCTCAGTGCTCAATACTCACCTCTGTGCTCAAAAAATGTTCTTTTAGTGATCTGATTTTCCTTTTTGTCCTTTACGTTCAGATCCGTCGTTAATGCTTTCCTGGAAAGAAGAGAATTACCTGTATGACAGTGGCTATGGTAGCACAGTAGGTAACTAACATCATAATACTTCATGCATTTCTGAGATGGTTTTATTGTTGTCTGTGGCTGTTACTTTAAATGTTTTCTTTTTAATTCTCAGAGCTATTGGACAGCAAAACATTCTGTCGTGCTCAGATTTCCATGACGACACCTAGTCACCAGCCTCCTGGTAAGGAACTTGTAATTATATTGTTAATTGTTTGTCACTTGTCCCAGAGCTAATGACGTATAATAGTCTCTGTGGCCTTAATTTTAAACCAAGCAGCACTGACTCCGACAGCTCTTTCAGCATCATTATTACAATAGCTTGCTTTAAAGAAATCCTTCTCTCTGTCGAGACAAAGAAGATCAAATAATCTGCAATCTCCACATATCTTTTAAAGTGGCTGAGTCAAAGGGGAAGACGTCAGTGTCAGAGAGACGAGACTTTCCAGCTCCTCCATGTTTTTCTGCAGTGCAGCTGGGTTTGGGCAGATGTGTGCCCTGTTCCTCCCCATCAGCAGCTGCTTTTCCCCAGCTGTTTGTGCTGAGCAGGGTGGCAGGTTTGGAGCCAGGTTTGGGGTCGGCCCGGGGAGCTGAAGGGCAGGCATGGAGCCCTCTGCCCAGCGGTACCAGCAGAAGGCCTTCCCACCACAGCCCCCTCAGCTGACAGCCTGGCCGCTTCACAGTGCTTCCATGAGGCAGAGACATGGTCTGCCTGCCAAAGGGCAGGGGAAAGAGCAAACTGGGTTTGCTGTAGTGCCTGGTGAAAGCACAGGCCGAGCACCTGTGTCAGGGCACTGTGCAGGCCATGTCCTGGGGACAGGCGCCATGGGCAGAGGTGAGAGCGCAAGGCGGTGGGAAAAGAGGAGAGCAAAGATGGCAGGAGAGCGAGAAAGGGGGGGAGGAAAGGCAGGTTCTTCTGAGGAGGCTGCTAAGCAAACAAACCTGAGGGAGAAAAGCAGCGGAAGCCATGGGAGGATGAGGAGGGAAGCACCCCGCTGCAGGTAGAGCCTCGCGGGCGCTGTCTCCGTGCTGGATGCAGCCCTGTCGGCGGCGATCGCAGCCTCTGTGCCCGCCCGTTCGCCTCATCCCCCGGCCTGCCAGCGCAGCCTGACTTGCTGACTGACATACAGTTTAAACTAATGCGCTCACCAATAACTAACTAGCTAACTAACTAACTAACTAGATAAATAAGAGAAAACCTGACCACAAGAAGAAAACCACCAATCCTTAAAAAAGCCCAACCCCAGGCCCTGCGTGCTTTCTCCACCGCCCCCACCCCTCTCACAAGATGGCTGCCAGGACCGTGGGGCCCTCACAGGGCCGGGGACCTGTCGAGATCCTGGCAGGCCGTGTTTACCCGCTGCCTGCTTCAGCCTAGAGCTAGGGTGGCACGCCAAGGGCACAGCCTCCTGTAAAAAATACATTTGTATATCCTGTAAAAAAAAAAAGGCTCATTCCTGAATCATATGCAAATACTGCGCAACCTTTTGTCAAAAGTTTTGCAAGACACCTTTGTTGAAACGGCATCGTAACTCTTTTCATCTGTCAGGACCCAGCCTCGTAACATGGCGTGTTTGAAACCGGTCTCCATGCAGGAGTGGGAGGCTATTTACACAGCTGAAATCCAGAACAAATCACCAGCCGGGCAGAAGGCAACTGAACTTCCAAGAATAAATCTCCAGCTAACTGGAGCATAACAAACATTTGAAAGTGAATTGTGGGATTTTAAAATGAGAAGGATTGATATCAGAGGGCAAATAAAGGACTGGGTCCTGCTGTCCTCGCCAACGGACTTTTAATAACACCAGGGGAATTACGAGCTGAGGAAAGGCAGTGATATACGCCTCGTTTTACTTTTTACCCCCAAGCCGAGTGGGGTTCAGGCTGGTTCCAATTGACTCGGAGTGTGTTTGCTGCTGGGGGGTTGGGGACAATACTGATGCCAGGCTCAGAACAGTGGAGGTTTGGCTTATCCTCACCGACCTGTGCAGTTTATGTTTCCAGTTAGGTATGAATAAAGCAAGTGTGTGAATAGCTTTGCATCTGCCTTTTCACATGCAGTTATTGCAGTTGCTTGTGCAAATCTGACAAGTTTCTATGCAAATTAATATTTCCTGTGAGTCATTTTCCCATGCAAATGCCCGGTTTCCATGAAAAGTATGATAATCATGCATTCACAGAAGCTGGGAAAGCGTGCGTGGGACCTTAAGCTTTGCTTTATGGAATTCCGGCACGAAGCATGCTGAAAAGCAAAGACAGAAGGGGCTCCCTCTCAGGACTGTCCCACTGATTCTGTGAGACTTGGAGCGATCAGATGAAAGCTATTCAGTAATGACAAGAGCAGAGCCAGGCTGTGGTGGCTGGAGGGCGGGAGGGTTGAACATGCAGACTGCGAGGTAGATTACAGTCATGAACAGGCAGAACTTTTCTTTTTCTTCGTTTCTGAAGAAATGCTTGTGCCAGAAACCCTATTCCTCCCCTGACTAGCTGCAGGTGATAAAGTACCATCGATGAGAAATGGCTTGTTTCTATGGCTCTGAGCCACAGAACAAGATATGCACGTCCAGCTGCCAAAACCTCCTACCAGCGCAGCCCCACTCCCGCGCCTGCCCCCCCAAACAGCAACGCTTTGCCAGTTCATTATGTTTCAGTCAGGTAGGTGTTCTGTGCATTGGTACTGGCACATACATTTCACATTAGATCATCGCTTTAGAAACAAATAAGCCCCCAAAGATACATGCTTCTGCAAAGACTAAGACATAATGGGACAATTCAGGATTCCTTTTATAGACGTGATTGTCTTATTTTTCTCTCTCTTATACATAACGTGAGGTGAGGTATTTGTTAATCAAATTCAGATTTCAAAAGCCAAATGTTTACCTCTGCATTCATTCTTTATTCATCAATGGTCTCTTTGTGAAGTGTGCTGATTAACATACAGTACAGAAAACAAAACTCTCCCCCTTCCTCCTCACTTAGATTACCTTCTGAAAAGTGATTATCTTTAAAAGAGATACTCATTCTTTTTTGTGGTTTTGTTTCTTTCAACCTGCTAGTCAATGGAAAGCCTTTAATCAAATTTACAAATAGGCTTCATTTTCCTTCTCTGCAGATTCTTCAGATGTGAAAAAATCGCAAGATCATACCCCAAAGTCCCACACCAAGAAGCACAGTAAGTCAACATCCATGTTTATAATGGTTGTTTAATTGAAGGAAAAGAAACACATTAAAAGCAAATCCCCTTCGGGAGGGAAAAGGAAGCATTTTGAAAGCAAAACTGGTTAGATCATTACTGTGATTTAATCCTCCAAGGATCTGACTGTTTCTAGTACCTTCTGCTTACGTTATTTTTGACTCAGTATTGTTACACTTTTAAAATTGTTTTTATCAGTGCAGGCTTATGGGGAAGCAACCAGAAACCAGTTGCATCTTCCCTATGTTGAGCTGGGCTGGTGGGCTGGAGTATGGGAATGACGAAGGAGACCCAGGATTAAATCAAGAAGCTCTACGTGTGGGCATGGTTCCATTAATTTTTACACTGAAAATATCTTGTATGTGTCTTTTGTGTCCTGTATCATTCCCTATTTATAATAGAAAACCTTAATATTGGTCTTTCACTGCATTTTGTAGTATTTGATTTAACCCTGTTTCAATATGGTCTGCAGATTATCTGTCTCTTCCTGACTCCTCTTCTTACCCTGCTCAACCAGAACTCCTGAACTTTTTATCTGCATACAGATATTTTGTTTCTTTTTTTTGTGTGTATATCAGGGTTGTTAATGAAAGGATGAGATAGGACCAGTCTGAAGACAGAACTGAGCAGGACTGAGGTCACTGGGTCTGTTCAGCTTAGAGAAGGCTGAGGGGTGAGCTCATCGACTCCCCAGCTTCCTCAAGGAGGACTGCGGAGGGAGAGGTGCTGATCTCCTCTCTCTGGTGACCACTGACAGGACACGAGGAAATGGAACAAAACTGCGTCAGGGGAAGTTCAGGCTGGACATTAGGAAAAGGTTCTTCACTGACAGAGTGGTTGGACACTGGACCAGGCTCCCCAGGGAAACAGTCAGAGCACCAACCCTGTCAGAGTTCAAGAAACATCTGGACAAAGCTCCTAGTCGTATGGTTTAACTTTAGGTAATCCTGCAAGAAGCAGGGAGTTAGACTTGAGGATCCTTATGGGTCCCTTCCAACTTGAGATATTCTATGATTCTAAGAACTCAGTCACAACCTTGGCATATGGAAAAGGTCACTGTGCCATGCTGGCCTAATCCCCTGCATTTCCAGGTTCTTCAGTACTGCTCTGTATCATGATCTACTGAGTATGTTACTGATGTCCAGATAGAGTAGGCCCACCACATTTTGTTGGTTCTAGAAAACAATTACAATAACAAAGAAAAATACTGTATTAGTTGACTGAAATCTCCTTCTACTCATGTTGCACTGTGTACCATTTTCTATTTACCTTCACATTTTTGACTAGCTTGTTTCCTTCTTAATTTGGTCTAAACACTTGCATGCTTTTGAAGTCAGACCAAAGGGCTGCTATCTTTCTGGCCCACCTTGTCACTGTGTTTTTTATTCTTCATTCATAAACTGCTACATCTGACTCGTTAGATTTATTTAATCTTTTTATCTTTTTGACCTGAACTTCCTGGTGCCATCTCTACAGTAACTGTGGGATGGATTTGTGCCTAAACTGGGAGGTCTACCTGTTGAACTTAGAGATCTGGTTTTGCCTTTTCTGATATCCCAATCAAACTTTTTTATACCCTTTACAGGTACAATTTTGGCTAGCCAGTTGTGTCACTATCCCTTTATCTACTCTACTCCTTCTTACTTCTTTAAGTCTACATAAGAGACCTGGGACCAAATACTCATTGATGCGGAATGGCATTTCACCTCCTTTGCCTTCTGTCTCTCTTTTAAATGCGTGGAGAGTCAGTGCCTGCTTCACGATTATCTTGGCTGTTTTATGTACCGCATGATAATATCAGGATACATGCCATGCTATAGAAGAATATCAGGAAAAATGGGCAAATGAGATGAGGGGAAGACTTAAACACGTTATCTTCAGGGCAGAAACAGTGCCAAAGGCAGGAGGAAGCAGTGGGTGGTTTGGATTCTGCTTCCCTTGGTTGCTGGGGCTCCTACCTGCCTGCCACAGGGCTCAGACTGCTGAAGGCTGATGCTCACCTCCAGCCTCAGTGCAAAAGCTGTTAGTATTTTTTGCCTATGTATCTCCAAGGTAGGGGTCCTGCGCCCTAGGAACTATGGCCTGTCCATACCGACTGGTCACCATCTGTAGTTGACACACTCTAAGAACATGACATAAAAATGGCAAGCATAGCCCGGAGAGCTCTTTAGACACTCCTTCCTCCTGCCCCCTTTCCTCTTTCAGACCCTCGAGGAACTCATCTTTGGGAATTTATTCGAGATATTCTTCTCAATCCTGAGAAAAACCCGGGACTAATCAAATGGGAAGACCGGTCAGAAGGTGTCTTCAGATTTTTAAAATCCGAAGCTGTGGCTCAGCTCTGGGGAAAGAAGAAAAACAACAGCAGCATGACTTACGAGAAACTCAGCCGGGCTATGAGGTGAGCTGAGACATTGCTGTAGAGGACTGGGACATGTAAAGAGACTACCCGAATGGAGAATCTGTCTGACACTTAAAAAATGAATTGTCAGCAACACCAGTTGCTTTCAATGCCAGCTGAGTCTCTCCCACTAATTTTGAGATGGTGACATTATGTTCTTCTTTGTCTTTTCTTTCTCCTCTGGTTTCTGTGTACTGTATAAATATTTATACATATATATATATGATATAGATAACATATGTATGTGTTATATGTAAAATATACATGCTGTTGCTGTCCACCCAAACAACCAATGCAGGAAGGAAATATGGTTGTAGCAAGCTGAATGTTCATGTGCTACTGAACTAGGAAGTCTTAAATGGCCCAGTAATGACCAGAGACCTTGTTATGTCCAGCAACGTTCAGAAACTAGACATACCCCCCACCCATTTATCCTAAAATAGGTTTCCAGATTCTGTGTGAGGGTTTTCTTTGCTCTTTGCTTTAAGCTCGTGAGCATTTTTCCATTATCTATGAAAGCTCAAAATGTATTTTAAAATGGAAGCTGAGATTCTTTCCTGGTCTTATTTCAGATCTTGGCTTATCTGAAAAAGAAAACCTCATGAAATCTCATAAGCGTGCGTGATAAATAGGGCAATATGCTATGACCTGAAATATGGGGAAATTCAAACTCGGAAGATAATATAAAGTAAAAAGAAGGCATCACTTTTTTTCTTTCCTGTCTTTCAGTTACAATAATCTTAGGTATTATATATATCACAGGAAAATAAAGACTTTTCAGCTAGCTGAGGGATTGCCTAGTTGACAGTGGCCTTTTAGTACTATAGGTGAATTTAATCTTAAATTTTTTCTATGCTTTTATTTTAACAGATACTATTATAAAAGAGAAATCCTGGAGCGTGTGGATGGCCGAAGATTAGTATATAAATTTGGAAAGAATGCCCGTGGCTGGAGAGAAAATGAGAATTAAATATGTCAAGAAATAACATTTAAAACACCTGGTTGTAAATATTCAAAGACTATTTTCTTATATTTATGTACCAAACTGGGCTGAAAACCAATTCTACTTTTCTACTTCTGTCGGGAAGAAGGAACATTATCATTACTGTTGTTAAAATTATTTTATTTGAAGTATGTCCTGTATGGGGAAAAAATGTACACAGTTTTCTGTGATATAAGATAACATTATAGAATTATGATTATTTTTCCCTTCTTGTGAAGTTTTTTTTTTTTTTTTTTTTTTTACATCATACAGGCATAATGTGATTTATGACAATGCTGTGAGTCATGCAAAGAAAGGGAAGGAGCAAAATACTAGGGCATTTAGGGAGTATGATAATCCACTTGGGAAGGCAACTATAAGTGGAGGAAATAGTAAAGCATCTCTGAGCCAAGTAGTCTTCTTCCATAGTCTGCTGGTTTATAGCTTTCATTGGCCAATATCACTTGTTCCATCCCTCCTCTGATATCTGGGTGTTTTAACACTTTGCTGGCTTCCAGTGGCTTTTGTTGATTCAGATGTTGGGATCCTCTGCAATTAGTTTATCTCAGCCACAGAGAGCAGTGGCTCTGCGAGGTGGCTGTCAGCATTTATTTGGAGAACCCATACTACCTCCACAACTGAGACCTTCTTTTGTAGGCAGAAGTTTAGGAGCTGACCTTAGCTGGTACTGAGTATCCTCCCTAATCTCCAAAGGGCATTCAGCTCATCCCAGGAAAAAGGGCTATTTCTTTTCAACTAACATCTTTGAGGCGAACTGCAGGAAGAGAGTCAATCTCAGGGACCTAAAGCTGTTAAAGGAAGATTATTGTCTTCTGACTGACAAACTTACTACAAGTCACTAGTTTCCCAATAGAAATATTAGTCCTCCTCCCACCCTCTTATATTCCTAAATAAAGCATTCAAATCCATGCCAGATGAAGCAGTGAGGAGGTGGGCAAGCAGAACATGGCATGAGGGAGCAGTGTCCCCAGTTCCCCAGGTCAAGCCTCACTTGAACAGATAACTTTCAAAAAACCCTTGAGAAATGCAGAGCTCCACTGCATGTAAAATATTAGTTCCCTTTGCTTTTCTCAAGTCTAACTCTATATTTTATTTGTATTTGTCAACTGTGCTTGGGATTCTTGGAGAAAAGACCACCAACATAAAGACACAGAGATTTTGGGCACATTCAGATCTGGGTCAGTATTTTGGGCTCGTCTCTAGCAGAGCTATGCGGAGACTGAATGTTCACTGGCAGCTTTTTCTTTCTCCAAGTCACAATTGCTTCTTGCTGGCACTAAGCACATGCAGAACATGGGGAAATAAAAACTAGAGGAGGCAGCACTTCACCAGGTCACTGAGTACGTGAGATGTAGGAGTTGAGAAACAGGATTTTCTTGGTTATGTTAACAGAGGTGAAACCAAGATCAATTCCAACTTGCTTTTTCAGGGATGGGGAATTTGCAAAACAGTAACAGGGGCTGAGAAGTCCAGGGGAAAAAAAAGAAAAAGAAAAGAAAATTAAGATGGTTAAATCCATCCAATATCCATTTCCTTAGGTGTCCCCTGGATTTGAATCCGTATTAGCTTGAAATACAGCAAGGTGCAGCTGGAGGTTGTAGGCTATTCCATTTTTTGTTTGTATTAAAAGAAAATAGAGATGAAACCAAGAGACAACAGAAGTATCAATATAAAGGGCATCAAGTGTGCTTGGCAACAATTTGTAGGCAAACATGAGAGCCTAACTTGTTATCTACACATGTAGGGCATGTCAAACAACACCAGCACCTCCTACACTGTGTATGCTAGAGCTGTCACTATCAATTACCCATACATGACAATTCTTACTTTTCATAACCTGGGTGGAGAGAGGTTCATCTTATTTACAAATCAAATAATAAGCATCTGTACTTCAAAGCATTTTTTTCTGTCTATCTCTTTTCCTTTTTTTTTTTTTTGACTGTCTGTGCTACCCTTGCTTGCTTTTGTGCAACTCACTAATTTCCTTTTTTTAGCTTGATTAGCTGCATTCCACTTCCTTCACCATCTTTGTAGTTCATGTAACAAGAATTAGGCCACCAGACGAGGAGGGCACCTACACTTTCCTCCAATAACTGTCCCTTTCCCCCCGCCTCACAGTTATTTGCAGCCCTTTGCTCCGTGCTCTTCTCCCTCCCCCCTTCTTATCCCCCAGTCCACACCTTGGGTGAAAATCTGAAATCAGCGGTACTGTCACAAATTTGTACCGTATCTCAGGTTTACATACATCTTGCAGCAACTGATGGCAATACCTTCATAAAGCTGCTTTCTACCAGATCTCTCACCAAACTTTTTGGGAGATAAAATGAACTCGTGATGTGTCACCACTTGGGTACCGAGCAGCAGCAGCTAAACCTGGTTTTAAAGGTTTTGAAAGATAAAGCTTTATTTAGAAGCGTACTTGTGAATCTAGAGAGTGTTTTATGCTGAGGTGCAGTATAAATACCAGTCTTCCACTGTCACATCTTTCAGCACGTGGAAATCGTGCAAGTTTCTATTCCCACTCGGCAGGACTTTTCAGACTAGGTACCTGCCATTCAGCATTACAATAGCACAAAGTTGGAATAGAAGTCAGCCAACATTTACTCTGTTTTACAAATATATTAACTTTTGCCTAAGACAAACAGAAAGGTCTGTTTAAAACTACAGTTCTTGCCAAGGACAGATGCAACCAACCAAAGGGAATCTTTTTTTCCAGACCTAAGCAAATGGAGAAAATGAAGAGGTGAATGTTTATGTAAATTACTATTTAAACAAAAAGCATTTCTGATTGCTCTTTTATTTTATATTTCAGAGGCTGAGCAGTCATATTTTTAAATGTATCCTTTCAATTAGCAGCTGCTGAACTGGTAGCACCATGTGTATAGATTTTTATTGTACCATAACTTTTCATATGTATAAAGCTCTAGATAGGAAAGTATATTCTATTTATATAGCTACATGCAAATCACAGTGTCAAAGGTGTTGGCATGAGCACTCTCAATCTGTATTTTCTGCACAAAATTAGAGCAACTTACTCTAAAAACATCCTGAGAAACTGTATGTAAGCTGGTGAACTACACAGACATTAAAAAGTTTAATTATATTTTCATCTTTCTTTCTGCAGCACATTGCATAATTCCTGCTTGCTTCCCACAGCATCATCTTCAGTGTATGTGCGTGGAGACAAATCCACATTAGGTATTTCGCTATTGCCACTGTAAATCTCAGCTTGGAGACTATGTATCACCAAATGGTTCTAAAGACTGTTTCTATTTTTGTGGAAATGATATAAATTCAAATAAAGCACTCATTAAAGAAATCTTCTGATTAATGCTTTTCTTGACTTTTTTATGTCTTGAGATTGGAAGTGACTAATATGAATCCTTTAAATCTTGGAGACTATTTCAGTATTGGCAAAAATACCACAAAATCTGGTAGCTTAAATTTACTAATATGCTGAATAGCCCATCTGTTGTGAAGATACTGAGTTTCCAAACCTGTTTTATGTCTCACAGGCCTTGCTGGAATACTCGATTATGTCGACACAGGCAGATTGCCTTTCTTGTTCGGCTGCTAAACTTTACAAAGGTCTTACTTCAGCACTGATTTAACTTCGGGGTGTTTTGAAGTGTGTGCAAGGGCTAGGCTGATTAAGGATGCCATTACTCACACTGAGCATATCCTTTACTGAATCAAAGCAACTGAAACGATGAAGTCCTGCCCTTCGTGTTATTTTTCTGTCTAAGTGGTGGTTACAAAAACACTCACTAAACAAAGAGAACATCTCTCCTGATTTGGTCTGCAGCTTGAGGAAAAAAAAATGAAAACCCCTATAATGAAGAGAAAGTCAAAGTGGGCGTTTGCACTTGGTGGGGGACTGTGGCTGTAACAGTGCGGTGCGAGGGTGCAGGGCTTGGACCTGCCATGAGCCGGCCTGTAGCCTCTGCCACCGCCTCGCTGGGTGTCCCAGGTGGGGTGGCAGCTTCACTGGAATGGGACAAATCACACCGCCATGCCCTATTACAGAATCACGGAATGTCAGAGATTGGAAGGGACCTCGAAAGCTCATCCAGTCCAATCCCCCTGCCGGAGCAGGAACCTCAATGAGATCACACAGGAAGGTGTCCAGGTGGGTCTTGAATGTCTCCAGAGAAGGAGACTCCACACCCTCCCTGGGCAGCCTGTCCCAGGGCTCTGGCACCCTCACTGTAAAGAAGTTTCTTCTCAAGTTTAAGCAGAACCTCCTGTGTTCCAGCTCACACCCATTGCCCCTTGTCCTACCATTGGGCATCACTGAGAAGAGCCTGGCTCCATCCTCCTGACATTCGCCCTTAGCATATTTATAAACATTAATGAGGTCATCTGCAAACGTGCTTAATTTTAAGCAAGCAGGTGATTCCACTGCATTTGAAATTACGTATAGGGATGTTTGAGGATGGTGGCTCTGAAAGTGTTCAGTCTGAATTGAATCAGCCTGTATTTGAACACAGAATTTCAAGAGGCTCCAAAATGATGGCTGCCTCAGTAGGAGAATATGTTTGAACTTTAAACACAGGTACAGCCTCCGTGTTTAGCATGCAAAACCAGGCCAGTGCTGTGAAAGGGCTGTCACAGTTTGAGAACTTGGGAGTCCCAAGCCAGGTTTGAAAAGGCATTGGAATCAGATTTCAAGCAAGTTCAGACTGAATTTTAAATAAGCACACAGGTGGTTTTCCAGTAAATGATCAGGGCCTTCGTTTCAAGCAAGCTGAGGACAATATTTGAGGCAAAGACAAATGAGAATATTGTTTGGAAACATGCAAATAAACCCACACTCGAAAACCCCAAAACTCTTCTTTGGTTGTGACTTAAAATCAAGCAAAACTTAATCTTTCAACTGTGTTCTAAAGCCGCATGAAATAAAAATTCAAGGCAAAATTCAGAGATTGCAAGTCTTGTGTAAATCGAGAATAAGGAGTACTGTAAACAGAGTCTACTGGGCTACATCTAAACCTGGTACAAAGTCGTGGGGTTGTCTGCATCAAGGACGAGTGCAAATTGCTTCAGGTAAGTGAAACCTGGTACTGCAGAAAGATGAGCAATTAAGAGTTACCAATACTAATAGCTTCCAAGAAGTGTAAGTGGGATAGTTATAATAATTTGAAAGATAGATTATCTGCCTGGGTTTCCAGCATTTGCTCCCTTGCTGCTGGAGCTTTGCACAGT